GCCCCTCGGTCGGTAGGTGCTTGGAGTCGCTGGGTTAGCAGGTGCTTGGAGTGGCGGGGTGGGTAGGTGCTTAGAGTGGCTCAATGGGTAGGTGCTTGCAGTGGCTCAGTGGGAAGGTGCTTGGAGTGGCTCTGTGGGTAGGTGCTTGGAGTGGCTCGGTGGGTCCGTGTTTGGAGTGGCGCGGTGGGTAGGTGCTTGGAGTGGCCTGGTGGGTAGGTGCTTCGAGTCTATGAATCCCCCTCGGCAGCGGCCATCCGTGGCCGCGGCCTAGGCCACGACCACACGGACGTGTCCGCGCGGCCGCGCGGCCTTTGAGGCCACGTGGCGGCCAGTGGGGAGGGGGGTTCGGGATTCGGGAAGCGCCATGGGGCGGCGCATCCCCAGCTTCACCCCCTCAAACAAAAAAAAATGAAAAAAAACTATTTTTTGTGGGGGGGGGAGTTGGGGGAGTGAAGGTATTTCGAAAAAATAAAATAAAAAATAACAGCGCGTTTTTTTCTTTTTGTTTTTCGTTGATTGGTTAATTGATTGAGTGATTGATTGGCCCAACAGGCGGACACACACACACACACACACATAGGTAGGACTGCCTGGAGGTGCCTGGTCTCAAGCTAGGTCCATGTACAGCCAGGGGGTCCAGACCCTCAGGAACAGCAAATTTTGACGAGTTTTCGGCCAAAAAACTCAGTTTCAATTTCGTTCAAAAAATAAACAATGTCCATTTTGACGAAATGGTCGTTAGAAATGCAGCGAGCCCCAAAACCCTTGTATATAGTGCTGTACCCCCGTTCACCCTTCACGGGGTCTGTGGACGGAAACCGGTCATAAGGTTCACGAGACCCTTGTATACAGTGCTGTACCCCGTTCACCTTTCACGGGGTCTGTGGACGGAAACCTGTCATGGAGTTCACGGAGTTCACCGTGTAGGAGTTCATGGAGTTCACAGAGAGTGGGATTAAGGTTTGTTTGTTTTTTGGCTGAGGGGGGTGTTTTTTCTTTATAGGAGGGTGGAGGACATCGGAGGGTAACTCCCTATAATTTTTTCAAAAAAAGAGTTTCAGGAATAATATTTGTTTTCAATTAAAAACGAAAAAAAAAACAAAAAACAGCCAAAATAAGCATTTTCGTTTGTTATTATATAGGTTATTTTGATTTTTAATTTTTTTTTCAATGTCACCACGATGTGGCGCTTGGTCCATTTCTCGATTTATGCGTGTCATCGTTGCGCAGGGGCCATGCTAATCTTCTCTGTATCGGGACATCCGTTAACATTGGAACGATGTGGGGCTTGAGGTGACTGTAGCTGAGTGAGCCCCCCCAAACAAAAATAAAAAAGATGAACACTACTCTTTCCTGGTCCGTCCTTTCACCGTGAATGGACGTTCGCAAAAAAAACACCAAATGAATGGCTGGTCACGTTCAAGTGACCGGTGGGTCCGGCATTGCTTGTATACATTTGCCCCCAGACGAGGCAAAAGTTGGGCAGGCCCCAAAATGACTTGGCTGGCTGGCGGGTAACGCCCACTGTGCAAAAACGGTGGAAAAGTGTCTTACCCACCTGACAAGTGTGCAAAAATGACACGAAAAGTCATTTTGGGGCATGCCACCATTTTCCCCCCGTTGGGGCATGCCAGCGAATACAAAGGTTTTGTCAAGGTAGGGGGGGTATCTATAACGTTTACGGAGAGGGATCATGCTTTTTTTTTCTTTTTTTCTTTTTTGGTGGGGGGGAACAAGGTTCCAATCTATTCATGGGGAGCAGCACGTGCTGGGAGCCGGGCCCAGCGTCCCATATGGAAATTTACATATGATTTTGAAGATTGAGATACCGGGGCCATTACCCGGCTTTGGCTCAGAAAAAACGAAGCTACTTAGAAAATGACTCCGACAAACTTCAGAATATAAACAGAATTCAGAAAAATGCTCAGAAATCCTCCCCATCCATCCACTTTTACCTTACTCCGGCAAGACTTACTGCATCAGAGCCACCATCTCCGCTGCTGCTATGCCCTTTTCCCATCCTACCAGCTAGCCCCCTCACTAGTAGGACGCGTGATATCCCACCATCTCCTTCCCCACTCCCCCTCGTTCTGTTTTAGCTCAAAAAGTTGGAGCAACTTTAGGAGATGACTAGAACAGACTTCAAGAATCAACAGGACTCAAACTCCAACTCGAACCCCCCCCCCCCCATCAATCCTCTGTTCCTCACTCCCGCAAGACTTACTGTAGCAGAGCCACCATCTCTACTGCTGCCATACCCTATTCCAATCCTACCAGCTAGCCCCGTATCCCACCGTCATCTTCTCCCACACAGAGACCATCCAATCTCTATTTAGGCCCCCACAATCCGCAAATCCTACCCGTCGTTGACACGTGCACATCTTCACGCTATTCAGATTACTTTGCCCCCCCCCTCCCTCCCCACAGACACATCCTCCGTTCTATATGCGGGGAGCTGCACATGTTCGGAAATATCCGAATTCAGATTACGTTGTCATATCACCACACAAAGCTCATTGAGAGGAAACAGTATATGCCCAAACGGTAAGTGAAATACGTCTTATCCTTCGTAGCAGCAATTGCCATAACAGCGAGAGAGCAGTGTATCATCAACCAAACCAGATCATAAATAAAAATTCATGACATTTACTGAGCGAAGATTCAAACCAAATCCTGAGCGAACGACGAGTTTCAACAAGCAGAAAGTGAGTAGTGCGGCTCCCATCTCGTAGACACACTCACTTCTTCTTGTCCGTCCTCTCGTACAGTCCAAGAGTTCTTTTGTCTTCACGAAGGGAGGAGTCCATGGCATTGCTCTCTCGTAAACACAGCGGACGATAGATGCCTCCACACAAGTTCGCAGCACTATAGACTAGAGTCAACCTATCCTCCCAGAGGACTATGCGAACCGCTCCAGCTCTATGGGTGCAGAGGAGCGGGTAGACCGCCGGCGTCCTAGCGGCCGACAAAACCACTGGAGAACGCTAGCGCTGCGACTGTCGACCGGTACCTCAAACAAACTCCAATCATAATCCTTTCTTCTTTCTTTCCCCCCTTGCCATCCATCATATCCTAGAGAACAGTGCCAGCAAAACTCATAGTCATAATCATGCAAAGTAATCCAACGATAAATAAATTAATAATTTAATAATATGAACAATGCGCACCATGAGCTTAAACATTCAGCCTCGACGGCAACGCCGTCAAAGCTGTCCTCCATTGCCTCTCTGCGGTCCTTATTCGAAAAGACATCCATGAGCCAAGGGGAGCACCCATCGCACAGTTATACAATGAGCGCTTAAGATCTACACATTCTTGTATAACAGCTTTAATGTTCTTATAATCTCTCTCTCTCTCTCTCTCTCTCTCTCTCTCTCTCTCTCTCTCTCTCTCTCTCTCTCTCTCTCCCCTTCCTGAAATCCACATTGAAGTATCACATGCACAAATCAAAGTATCACATGCATATATGGGTCTTTGCTTCTGGAGTTACCGTGCACCCTTGGTCCCTTGCTGCCGGCTGATCGACTTCGTTGTGTTGTGGAGCCGAGCAACTACAAAACATGGCCGACGCAGGGATGACTTTGTCCATGCGACATCCAAGTGTTTTGATGCACAGACAAATTTTCTTGCGCGCGAAAGCGCCTGCCTTCGTGGGATGCACACGCGACGCGTCTGCTGTTCGCAGCCTGATCTCGTTTAGGGTAACGGTGCCAGTACCGCATACCTCACGTCGCAAGAGGGACAAATTGTGTAGACGGCATGATCAAAGCCATAAAGACCAGACCATCGAATGAAGGCACGACTCCAACTTGATTGTTCAACGACTCGGCGAGTACTATAAGAGAATGGAAGTCAAAGGAAGTTGAAGAGTATGGTGATCCAGTTTGGGCACGCTGCAAGTAGAGCTTCGGAGCTTCCCGGGACCCGGGATATGTGTGGCAGAAGTCAGGTATTGGTCGCACCGAGATCGAAGACTTGGTCGCACAGATGCACGTCGCACACACCTCTCATTTCCGAGACTGTCTGGCTAAGTGTAAACACGCATTGCTCAATGTACTTAACGGTATATAGGTCTCGGTTGGATTGAAATGGTCGACTATGTGAACATGGCCCCGAGACAACTGCGACAGGAATGGAGGGAGAGACAAGCAGACGTGACAGAGGCTAGGAAGAAGCACGTCCAGACTTCGAATCGAGTGCGGCCGATGAAGCCAGCGTGCGGATGTATTGCTACCCAGCTCCTCCTCCCTCCTCCCTCCTCCTCCTCCTCCTCCTCCTCCTCCTCAGTCTCCTCAGTTTACTACTACGGTACTACCACCTCTGTTGGTACTGTACTTCAATGCTATTACTCCCAACTACCACTGCCATTTCCAACTGCTACAACTGGGGTTACCTAGTATTATCCTCCCCCCCAGCTGATACCTCCACAGCTGGTATTCCTTTCCTTTCTCGACTACGGCTATCACTCTTCGTCTTGTTCCCCACGGATTACGCATACGTACGGCTGAAGCACGACTTATGGAGTGGAAGCATCCGAGCGTTTCCTTGGACGCTGTCTTATGAGGAAAGAATGCAGTGTGCGTCTCCTCCTTTCCTCTCTTCTCCCCTGACCGGGAAAGAATGCGATGTGTGTGTCCTCCCTTCCTCTCTTCTCCCCTTACCGGGAACGACGATCCGTCGCCCCAATGCCTGGCGGCGGGCTAGAACCAGTCGCTTTCCCGCACCTTATTTGACAATTGTGCGGCCGAAACTCACAATTGGCGAGCTGTATTCCTCCGAATTGCAGTCCGACGCCCCCTTGAGAAGACCTAGAGAAGTAGCCCGAGAAACGCACGCTTCCTGAAGCGCATCTCCACATCACCCCGTTCAAGTGCTTCCAACCAGCCCAACCGCCGTAGTTGGGTTGCTGTGCATCATAAGAGAGAGCAAGCATGCACTAGAGACAGCCTCCAACCGATCTGATTGCCCATCCTACCCGTTCATCATCATCTGGGAGCCCGACAAAGACCATGCCCGCCGTCATGGTCGCTGTTGGGGCCGGAAACAAGGACGGAGCGGAGTACGGTACCAGCCAACGTAAGTCGGGCGACAGAGCTGACGCCGGCTTGCCTTGTCTCCTTCCGACTGCTCATTCCTGTTTGTGTCCCGTTCCGTGCTCTTCTTTTGCCATTGCAGTCGCAGTGCCAATTTCGATGAAGATGTCCAAGTTCGCGCGTGTCTTCGCAGCGTGTCGTGCACCCTCCGGAGGGGGAAGGTGCAGCAGAGACGCTGATTGTTTAGACGAAAGAAAAGCGGCGAAAGAGAGCAGGCCATCCCCTCTCGTTTGCTTGGTTCGCGGGGTGGGGATGGGCAATCCAGTCCATTTCCATAGTTTCCACGTTGTCGACGTTTTGACTACACTTGCACGGACGGCGAGAAGACGGTGAAGGAGAAGACGGCCGCTGTACCGAAGCCCGCAAAGAGGATGGTCACAACCCAGGAGATAACGAATTGCCCGAAGAGCCACCAGTCGACGTTTCTCCAGTCGTCGGAAGCGCCAACCCCGATGGTCGCCCCCACCAGCGTCTGCGTGGTGGAGATCGGCATACCGAAGCGGCTGGCAACCACCACGGTCATGGCAGCGCACAGCTCCGCCGTGAAACCTCGCGACGGCGTCATCTTCGTCACGGCGCCGCCCAGGTTGCGCACCATTCTCCATCCCCAGACGGCGAAGCCGAGACCGAGTGCGAAACCCCCCATGGCCAGCTGCCACGATTCCACCTCCAGCTTGGGGAGCGTGAGCTTCCCCTTCTTGGCGTCGAACTTCACTGCGTCTCCCTGGTAGATGTTCTGGACGGCGGAGAGAGGGCCGATTGCGTTGGCCGTGTCGTTGCTGCCGTGGGCGAAGGCTGCGGCGCAGGCAGTGAGCACCTGCAGGAAGCTGAAGAGCTCCTCAGACCTTTCGTCGAACATCTCGGCGCGTGAGTGCAGATCCAGCGTGTGCTCGGTGAATTCCAGGTCATGCGAGATTGTCTTGCTCTCCACCAACAGGTACCACGCCTTGACACGCTGCCATGTCGTCATCAACGGCCCTGCGCCGTCCTCCTCGACTCTGCTTGCCGGCGCCTTGCATCCCTGCTCACCCTTCTCCTCGTCGCACTCCTTGGCACCGCCGCCTGCAACCTGCGCAATGAGAGCCCTGTCTCGCGCCTTCTGCTCCGCCTTGTGCTGCTTGCGATCCTCCAGATTTGCCAGTCTCCTCTTCGCAAGAGGAATGCCGATCAGGGCGGCCAGGGAGGCGACCCCGACGGCGACGACTATGGCGATCCAGGTGGCCTTCCCGTTGCCGATGTCGCTCAGCTTCAGCCGGGCCGACCCCTTGTACACGATGAAGAAGGTAATGATGAAGGCGGTCAGGCCGTAGTAGATGGGCATAGCGATCAGCGTCCTCCGTTCCGAGTTCTGCGGTCGGAGAATGACTATTTTCGTGAAAGTGAAGAGGACGACGGAGGCCATGCCGGCAATAAGGGGCGTCAGCACCCATGACACGACGATGGCAGCGAATCCCCCGACCTTCAGATCGCTCGTCGGGTCCTCCTTGTACCAGAAGACAGAGTTCGCTCCTTTGGCCACCATGCTGAAGCCAATGAAGGAGCCGATGATGGAGTGTGTGGTGGAGATGGGCATGCCGTAGAAGGTGGCGAGGACGATCCACACGGCGGCAACCGCGATCGCGATGAACATGCCCCACATGAGCAACGCAGCGCCGGCTTTGTCAAACTTACCGTCCGGGATCAAAAAGATCTTCGGGTCCACTATGCCGCCCTTCATCGTATCGGCCACGCGGCCTCCCATGAAGAAAGCCCCGCAGAACTCAAACACCCACGCAATCACCACTGCCTGCTTCATGGTGATGGCGCCCGACCCCACGGATGTCCCGAATGAGTTGGCCACATCATTGGCACCGATTCCCCATGCCATCAAGAACGAGACGATGATCGCCAGGATGTAGATCCAGTGGTACATATGGTCCAATGCAAACTCGGCCGCCATGGCGACTCCCTGCCAAGCGCCTACTACGCCCTGCTACGCCGGTTCAACCAACGCCCTCACTCCGCTCCTACTGCTCGATGCACCGCCTCCTACTCTCTCCTCTTTCTGTCTCTCCCTACCTAGCTCTATGCCGCCTGCTGCCCTGCCTTCCTGCCGTCGTCCTGCGTGTTAACGTAGTGACCGGTTCGTTGTAGGTACAACACTCACGCCCCCCG